CGTGTGCGTGTGCGTGTTTTTCCGTAAGGTTTCATCATTTTATTGTGTTGTATTTTGTTAAACAATTTTTCCAGGCTGTTTTTTATTTAACTATTCTACAAACGTACTTATACAGTGTGAGTAAAAATCATGTTAACACTAGTATAGGATGAACTCAAGAACAGAATACAAGATGCCATAGCAAATAGTCTCCGCGAAATGTGTGTCAAGGCACCAAATTGTACTGCTGATCGATGGTTTTGTCCTTTGATTATGCTTTGGACCAGTTTGAGACTCTTCTTTTAATTCTGAGCAAATGATTTTCGCGTACTAGTGTTAACATAATTCTGACTCACCCTATAAATAAATAGGTTCGCACATGGCTATACGTGCCTCTGTTGTGTAGCCGTAAGGGCTTCGCTGTAGCATGCAGGCAACCCGAATTCGATTCCGGAGTGGGGGAAATTTGTATCGAGTATCTCGATCTTTCTCCTGGGTTGTCGTATATTATTTATTATTCCTCTCAGTCCAAGTTGGCCCTGACAGGCAGGGTCGGAAGTCTGCCTCCTAAATGATCTAAATTGTGTTGGTTGGCGTGGGGGAGGGGGGGTCGAAATCACCTACAATAAGTAAATTAGATGGGTTTTTTTTATGTTTTTAAAGGAAGAGACTTTTACTATATTTTTTCTCAGTTATATTTGAGCTTAGACGGCCTAAAGTACTGAAAAGACGTGATTCAGGAGCAACGCGATAGATCAGCTAACAGCTGGCCACATTGGATAATAATAATAATAGCACGTACAGCACAAATCCCCGCCCAACAGCAAGCTGTATACGCTTCACAATCTATACTATTACTATTACCCTAGCACACCTGAGAGCATTCTGAAACAAACTCAACTTCGTGGTTAGCATACAGTGCAAGCAGCCATTTATAGGCGCTAAAACACTAACAAACTGACAAGATATTTCGCTGTCTATGGCTGGGTACCCATTTCCACCTGGGTAAAGTGAGGAAAATTCGTGTAAAGTGCCATTCCCAAGGACACAACATCGGGCCCGCGGCTCGAACCCCCGACCCCGCAACCTCACGATTACAAGTCCGGTAGTCCGTTGACATGCACAAATACCTATTTTTCTCACAGACAAAAGCATTTATAAATAACAAATAAGACTTGATATTGAGGGACAAAAAACAAACAAACAATTCCTGCATCAAAGAAAACCCCATTAAGACACCAACAATATCTAAAAAGAACAAACTAGAAACGCTGAGAATGAAAACAGAAAACGATTTAATGCTGCTTTTTATGTGTGCATTTGATCATGGGTTGTAACTCTTCATCCTCTGTTTAATTCTTCAACTAAATAAATGTAACATCATAATGTAATCTAGACCGCTACAGCTTTAACAATAACAACTACGATAGTTGTAAAAAAACACAACAAATAACAATAACTTCCAAACAGTGCAATAAAGCGTAAACGGTACACATACCTGTACTGAGATGAAGGAACAGCAACCTATCCAGAGAATGAAATCACAACCAGGCGGAGGTACTACAATACATAAATAGGTAACATTCACACCAGAAACCTTGGCACGAGTGTAATCCAAGAAGGGCGCTAGGTAGGCACCGTAAGACCTTCCCCAACACAAAAGCTTTCTTACTGAACGTTATCTGTTACAGCTCGAGAAAATCTGAGGGCTGGTTGGTTTCCTGGCGTGGCTATTTCTAGAGTTGGCTGTATCAGTGTACTTAGATTTATGTCCAGAATTCCAGCCTAACTACCTGTGATATACATGTGTCTGCAACTGCAGGGAAGATTTAACTCAGAGAGCACTGCCTTCAGGTACCGAACTACCAAAGCTGTAGATAGCTATTATTAATACATGTACTTTGACTTTAGTTTCTGGTTAGATTTTGTTAAGGCTCGTCAGGGTGAAAGAAGCTGTTTACTGTATAGGTCATGAAAAGGAATCGTGCTATCCCTGTTACTGTTTCATTTTTAGTAGTCACAACCTGAAAGGAGGGAGGAAGGGGAGGAGAGTGAGGGTAGAGCGAAGAGTGGTACATTTTTTTTCTTCCAATAAGTTATCAGACCACGCAGTTGTTCATTAAAATGTTCGTTACGATACTCATCATTTATTATGACAACGTTATAACCCACCCCATCTGTTATCTCCTCAGGAGGAATTCTGTTTGCAGAGTAAATGACACGACGGGACCCCTCCCCCTCCCTTTCTTTTTTTTTTAGAGGAAACAAGACGTCTGTTGGTCTTCAAGTTAGGAATTTAGTATAAATTTGACTGAGAGCTTGATATGTTTCTTTTGCTCGACAAGTAGAACCACATTAAAATGTATAAGTGGTGAAGAGTATCAAAGAGCTCTATCGTTATGGAAATTTTAAACAAATCAGTTTCGAAAGCGCTTATTTCGCCAGTTTTTTCAAATCTACTTATGATTATGATTAGTAAGACTAGTATAACCGCACATGCCCTAAATAGAAATAAATGCATTTGAAATTAAAATTGTAAACGGATAATTCTTTCTGTAACAAATAGGATGTAAAAAGTAAACAATATGATAGCAAAAAGTGCAAACCAAAGTTTAAGGTTTTACGTTTTGCATTACAACCGCACCCCCCCCCCCCCCCCCCCCCACCCCGGAAAAATACAACCCTTCCATACAACATCAATCCAACAAACTGTTCGTCACAGTCCTCATTGATAACGATATTTTTCTACTTTTGATGTTAAAAAAGCCTCAAAACACGCCTGTTGTTGTTCCTGCAAAAAACACAAGTGGAAGGTTCAATATCTGGTTATGCAGACCCTTGAGGTGGCTAGCTTCGTGAAATCAGACTGATGTAAAGTTAACGATTTCTTTATATCCGGCGAGGTTTGTGTTTTTACAAGCATTATAGACAAATGACGTGCTATCTTGTGGGCGTGTCGTATATTGTTACGCCAACAACAACAATAATAACAACAGCAACGTCAAGCTTCTGTGGACCTATTGGTAGAACAATATACCCTTTGATGGCTAAAGGGACAAGGAAGAAGAGAAAAAACAACAACTTTGTTTTTGTAAGAAACGAGCCTTGTTGGATGGAAGTGTTGTGATTGTGCGTTCATGGTTCTCATTGTTTTTAGTGTCACGTTGTAACTCCGTAATGAGACCAGGCTCTACGGTGTAGCTTTCATGTGCTTCGCATCGCACGCAAACACCTTGAGTTTCAATCCCGTTTCGAGAACATTATCGAGCATTTCCGACTTTCTTACGTGACGTTTTATCCCTTTTAACCTCGGTTGGCCTTGACAGGCATGATCAAACAGAAGCCTGCCTCCTAATAAATAATCTAAATTATATAGACGGGAACATAAAGCTTTGTACTGTGTCTTTAACCCTTCAATGTATAAAATAATAAATGAAATATGAAGTAACTATGGTCGTGATCTTTCCAGTTTTTACTTTTTATTACATTGTTTGGTCTCTTCTATCTGCATGCGTCTTTTTGTTACTACTGTTTTGTTAGAGATATTATAAAAGATTTAATTATTATTCAAAATTTGCACTAGGCCTGTTTTAGTTATTAATTTTGTTTATGGGTTTTGTTTCTCATGCTACTATTTCCCGTACGTCAGACTAATAACAAAGGTCAAAAAAGGAGGATAGGTTTGGGGGATTTTCTCCAAATGCAAACTCATAATGAAACATGCCGGTGTTGAAATATTTGCCTCCGCAGAGGTCATAGCCGGAAGAAGCCACCTATAAGCCCAACTTCCCCAAGCTAAGCTCGAGTATCAGATTCAGGCCCAAGATACACGGTATGAATCTCCAAATCGCGTTGGTGGAGGCATCAAGTTTAATGGGTGTTAACTTCCAGATGCAGCCTACTCGCGTCTGAAAGCTCGGCGTTGACAGATTGAAGTGTGGTTTTGAGATCTGGTACCTCGGTACGACGAGGGCAAGGTGAAAAAGAACGAACAGAGGGCAGTATTAGAAAACAAACACTTCGGGGAGGAAAGCTCTGTCTAAAGAGGAACTGTAATTAATATAAAGTAACAAAAAGAACCCCAAATAGCTTAGCATTAATCTTTGCAAACAGAAGGAACAAGAAAATAAAAAAGAGTGCAAGAACAGACGAAAAAACTGGTCATGGTTGAAAGTTATGGGAGGTTGGGGGGAGGTTGGAAGAATAGTGCAGTGAAAAGTAAGCTCGAGATCCGAGGATAAAGCTGGTGTTCAAAGTTTTTTGTTTTGTTTTTTTCGTAAGAGTTTTACGGCACTTGCAACACAATCAGGTCATATAAGTGCCAATGTTTAAAGGGGTAAAGTAAAACTTTGGAAAGAAAGTTTAATTGAACAGAACACCACTGATAAATAGGAAAGCTTCTGACTTGATAGGGTATTTTTCGTGGAGGTCTAGCGACATCCCCTGATGCCAAAACACTTTATTGCCTATTTTATACGTAAAATTAGTCGAGTTGAATAACTGTCTGCTGGTTTCTTTCTTTGTCTCTCTTTCTAAAAAGCTGTATTTACACAAACGAGAGGGAACACCATAATGTTATAGATCTTCCGCGTTCATTAGCGACTGATTGCAGACAAGGTGTATTTTTTATTTTAATTGTTTCAGCTTGGTTTGTGCGAGCATGCGTGCGTGCGTTTGTATGTGTGTGTGTGTGTGTGTGTGTGTGTGTGTGTGTGTGTGTGTGTGTGTGTGTGTGTGTGTGTGTGTGTGTGTGTGTGTGTGTGTGTGTGTGTGTGTAGAAGGAAGGATTGAAGGGTGGCTGGGTGGGTGGTAGTAGTAGTAGTAGTAGTAGTAGTAGTAGTAGTAGTAGTAGTAGTAGTAGTAGTAGTAGTAGTAGTAGTAGTAGTAGTAGTAGTAGTAGTAGTAGTAGTAGTAGTAGTAGTAGTAGTAGTAGTAGTAGTAGTAGTAGTAGTAGTAGTAGTAGTAGTAGTAGTAGTAGTAGTAGTAGTAGTAGTAGTAGTAGTAGTAGTAATATTTTTATT